ATAGTGACATTCTTTGTTATGATATGACTTAGGAGAAAATTCTCTCCAATCCATCAGAATTAGGGGTGATTATTTCCAGACCAGAAAATTTTCAGGCATGGGCTTAGGTTTTGTGTCTAGGCCCAATGCTTAAAGCTCAGCCCAGAATACTATTATTTTATATAATAGTATTATTCATACAACATATATTATATATGATGTTTTATATTTTTATAAAATAAAACATTAAGGCTATGTTTGGTTTGAAGGAAAAAGTAAGGAAAGGAAGGGAGAGGTAGGAAAACCCATACATAGTTTATAAAGGTTTCCTTACCTTTCCTTTCCTTTCCTTACTTTTCCCTTCAAACCATATAGCCTAAGTTATTTTATATAATAATATTATTATTCATATAACATATATTATATATAATGTTTTATATTTTATAAAATAAAACATTAAGATTCGCGAGCCCACATGTGTCCACAGTGAAGTCGTGTACAAATTTATATCTTATTTTCCATGGTTATTTGTTGTCAAATAGATGAATGTAAAACTTCTATTTTCACAAACCTGACTCTACTATTATTAAAGGAGTGGGGGTGCGATTAGGGGTGATCATTTCAGCCCGTCCTGGTTCGGAAATTTTGGGTTTGGGCCTGGGTTTTGTGTTTAGGCCCAGTTTGGGCCTGGGCCCATATCAGGCCCGCAAATTTTAGGGTTGGGCTTGGGCTTAATACTTCAAGCCCAGCCCAAGCCCGGCCTGACCCACATATATTTAAACTTACACATTTTGTATATAATGTATGCATATGTATACATACTATTTTACATTATATTATATATTTTATATATAAATATTATAATAGGATATCTATAATTTATATTATATGTAATAATTTATATTATATAATATATAAATTAAAAGTTTATATGCATGTTATATCATTTAATATAAAATATTATAGATATGTAATGTTTTATATATGAAAGGCATTGGCTCGGAATCAGGCCCAGGCCCATGTAGACCTAGGCTAGGGCTTATGTTACAGGCCTGAAATCCCGATCTAGGCTGGGCCTGGGCCTAAGCTATAGCCCTTATCATAAGTGCAAAGCTCGGCCCAAGGTCACCCCTGGGTGCGATCATACCAACACTAATGCACCGGATCCCATCAGAATTCCAAAATTAAGCATGCTTGAGTGAGAGTACTACTAAGATGGGTGACCTCCTGAAAAGTCCTCATGTTGCACCCCAACTTTAACCCCCCTGGATTTATAAAAAAAAGTGGCAAATGGTGGGTTGGGTATGGGTTGAGTACCAACCCACCCATATTGACCCTCTAACCCATTTACCAATCAAGGTTTATCTGAATGCTTTAAGCCCTATTTGGCAATGTTCTCACATGTTCCTATTCTCGAGGAAATTCTTGTTTTGGAACAAGAATTTTTTTTCCTACTCTACAGGAACAACAGAGGCGTTTGGAAATTTGTTCATTGGGAATGGAATTTTTTTCTATAGAAATAGAAATAATGTTAGGATAACTAAACTATTTCTTGCCCGTGTTTTGAACTGTAAATTTTTCATCATTCCACTTAAATAAACAGTAGAAGTGAAGAACATAACTACAAATATAAAATAAATAAAATGGAAATAATTCAGCCACTCCTAACAAATATTATTAGTTTTGATGAATGAATGGTGTTGCTTTTTTGGAATATAGTAGAATATTTGTGTAAGAAAATAGTAGAATTAACAATAGAAATAAGTTGTAAACACTAGGGTATCTGGTTTATATTCAGGAAGTTGGAAAGTGAACAATGGTATTCCTGGTCTTGTTTAGGTGTTTAGGGGCCGTGTTGTGTTAGTCTTTAGTTGCATGTGCTTAGTCCTTGGCCTTTAGCCTTTGTCAAGTGTTTCTTGTTCTGCTATGTTTCCTATGGGTCTATAGAATTTCTGTTAAATTTTCCAAAAAGAAAAACTATTACATACCTCATTTAAAGGACTTTTGGTTGAATTCGCAAAACAAGGCCATAAGAAAACCTTTCAGCCGAGCTTCCTTTACCTCCGAAACCACAGATTAATCAGCCATGAAACGACAATAATTGACAATTTTCCTAAACCTGGGTACAGTTCCGAGGTCTACCTTGGTCCCATCCTTCAATGTTATAGTAATATCTCCCCATTCACCAATAAAATGTGGCACCACTTGAACTTCCTTAATCAAATTGCTCTTGTCTTGCCCCATTAGTAATGGGTTTGTTTTTGCTACTTGCACATGTTGGTTTAGAGAGGAAGTTTGGTGGGCAGATTAGAGGAGATTTGCAGGGTTTGGGGGGTTGAACTTGCACAAGGGTTGGAAAACAACTGGGGTGGAAGCCATTGTTGGATTATTTGTTTGAGAGAAGAGTGTGTGGAGACCAACAGTCTGTATATCCATTATCTCACCTTGCTTGTAATGTGTTAGATTCTCTGATTTTGGGAGAATAATTACGTTTTAGGATTTAAGACCTAGCTCCGACCAAAACAGTTTGGGAGAAATGCAGAGTTATCTACTAGTGTTTTAAGCTAGCTAGCGTTATCTCTCTCTTTCTCTCGCTCAAAATAAGGGTTGGGAGAACTACAGATCAGAGGACCAAAAAACAGAGCATCCACATGTCTACAACAAAGAAACAACAAGAAGGAAGACAACCATACTCTCAACGTGAGAATGTGGCACACGTATTTGTATCTAATAAGGGACGTCGTGGGAACATCGATTTGTCACTCCCAAAGAAGTAACTGTTCTCATGCGGAAATGGCTCGTTTCTTTCATTATATTTTTGCTAAACATATTTTTGTTCTACAAGAACGCTAAAATTGGCAGAAACATTCTCGTGAAACATTGCCAAACAGGGTCTTAACTGTTCAATGGACTGTGGAACCAAGGATAAGGTTTCACGCATGTATTTAAATACATGGGGGCCGTGTCTTTTACTGTGGGGGCCATGAAGCCCTAATCATAATGAAAACTTGTCATTCTTAATTTTCATTCCATAATTTTGTTTTGTATTATCACTGATTTCATGATTTTAGATTTTAACAAGACATTATCTATCAGAAATTATAATTAACCCTAATTATTTTAAGAATTCCTTACTTTTATACTAAAAAGGAAAATAAAATCATCAAAAGACATATACTAATAAAAAATATAGTCAATAAATTGTCATAAAGGCTTAATAGGATCGGGGATTTTATAAGATTTTAAGTGGACGGGACTTGGGATAAAGAGACGGCTAGGCCCGGCCTGATCCAAACCCAATTTCATTTTAGATTGGGTTGGGTTAGGTTAGGGTTAGAATCGGGGGTTTAGAACTTTGGATTGAGACTTAAACCAACCCTAATCTACCCCAACCTGCACCATTGTTTACAGGAGCCTGATTCACCTGCCAACAGAAATCCCTTCCAACATGTTCCAACATGATATGTTTCTACGCATTATGTGTGAGGCCCATCACAAAACTGGGACTTACCATAAGACTGAGATATATCATGAATGTGATGTGTAGACAAAGATCATGTTAGAACTGTTGGAAGGGATTTTTTGTTGGGAGAAGCAAGGTTTTTAAATCGTCGTTGACCTGAATGGTCGTACCATCTGATTTGGAAACCAATCAGGATAGCAATTATGCGTTTGTTTGGCATCGATGTCATTGTTATAGAAAACGGTGACATATCAATGCTATGTTAGAAAAAACAGTGCTACAGGAAACATCAATATGTTTGGAATTGTTTTTTTATAAAAGCGGTGCTCCAAGTCATGCATTGGAAATCGAGAAGGCGTGGTTTGGAGCAACGCCGAATTTAACGTTTTCTCAGATTGGAATTCATTGCTGCCAAGAAGGACATGATGTAGCACTGACATGGAATTCCTATAATAGGTATCGGTGCTAAAAACAGATATGGAGTACTAGTACCAAACAGAAAGTATTGTTATTGCTCTAAGAAATGTCCTACTTAGCAGCAACGTTTCCAAACAAAAAAAAAAAACTTCTAATCCACACATCACAGCTATTCACAACATCGATGCCAAATATATACTATATTTTATTCTCAAACAAAAATTTAACTTCGATCAGAACAAAGACCATTCAAACAACCTTTACTACCTTGCATTGAGAATATCTCTCTACTTATGTATGAAACGGTATGGCAAGAGATTTGTTCTAATAAAAGCCGATCTCCTCGAACCATTATCTTTCCAAAAACATTGAATTGGTCAATTGTCCATAGAGGCAATCGAGCCATCAAACATTCAACCTAGACAACAATTTTCAGGCCAAACTTCTATTTTAAATTTTTTAAACTGATTTATTTGTATCGAATGATTGATTTTTGTAGGGATACGATAAACACGTAAGAGGATAACACCAAATAAGGATACGATTGAGCATTCTGCTATGTTACTTCTAGGTTAAGTTTCAAAACAAGCACTTCGATTAAAGGGTATTTGAGACATTTAACATTATACTTTTTGGATAATAATAAATTTTGCCAGTTAAATTCGCTTTTGTAAACCGGACACCTATGTAAGTGGGTCCGTCTCACCTGCGGTCATGAGAAGCTGTTATGGTGGTTACCAACCGACATTATTTCCAAAATTACGAATATATCCTTCCGGGTTTAATATTTATATAATCATTTGCAATTAATAGCAGGAGGGCATTTCCGTCATGATAAAAACGACAGCGAAAGGGAGTGGGAGGTGAGAAGCCAAAGAGCGAGAAGTGGAGAGTCGAAGAGAGAGGGACGGCGAGTAATACGGTACGACGGGCATCAGCGAGGCAAAGATGTCAGATCATTTGTGGAGTTTTAACCGTTAGATGAATTTCTAGGAAGCAGATCCAAAACTTTTGATAATCCAACGGTTGGAATTAAATGGGGTACGTACATTCAGTAGGATACTAATACAGCTCATTAGGGGTTGTCACGTGAGTACGGTCCCATCAGAAAAAGATCTGATATTAGTGCGTCCTCTTTCTCTCTCTACAAACACACACCCCTCTCTCTCTACTCTCTAGAGAGAGAAAAATTCGTAACGTCGTTTTGAAATCCCCTCTTCTCAGTCCTCACTATTTCTCTTCACCTCGTTTCCGGCGAACACTCTCCCACTGTAAATCCTGGTTTCGACCGTTGAAATTCCCTCTCTGTGTTCTCTCTGCCATTTCTAGCGGTTCTTAGTTCCAACCTCGCCGCTGTATCAGGCGGAGTTTTACTCTTGTTGCTCTGTTTCTCTCTTCCCTCTCAAGTTCAAGTTCTGTGCTGTAGTAATGGCGGAGTTTCCTCCCAACCTGGATGACGGAGAACTCTGGATTCCTTCTGACATTTTCCCCGACGAAGTATCCACCAAGTTTAGCCCAGAATTTCCGTCTGAGATAACGTACATGGAAGACCTCGCTCATCAGCTGGCGACTTTCGCTTTGCTTGAACGGAACCAAACTGTTGCAAATCCCCCGCCAAATTTACCCCCAAACTTAGAGGTTCTACTAACTCTACTGATCCATTCTCTTTTACTAGATTCCTTTTGGCTAGGTTTTCTGACCTTGGTTATGTTTTCTTTTTTCTTCTGGGCTGTTAGTATTTTAGACGGCAAGGTCGGTACGGTGCTGTTGCTCCTCCCAGAACCGGGTTTAGCTTTGGGTTTGGTAGGGGCCCTACTGCTGGCCACCATCTTTTTTCATCTGGCAACGAGGGTTTTCCTGCCGGTTCGAGACCGGTTTACCAGTATCGACCTATGAAACCGGTTCATGCTCAGGTAAAAGGTTACAGGAAATCTCAGAAGCGATTTTTTATTGATTTACTTTTCTGGGTTGTGTTTTCGAGACCTTCCTTTTTCATCTTTAATGGGTTCTCGGTTTTCTTTTGTCTTCATTTTGGGTTATTTGCAGGTTGAGAGCTCTGTGCATCAACCCGGAGACAGGTCTTTGCAGAAGCAGCAGCAAAACCAGGGTCAAAACCGCTTTTTGCCGTTTCAGGTAAACGGGTCGGGGATGGGCGGTTTAGTGAGAGAATACGGAGGTACCGGGGTTTTCCTCCCTCGCATTGCAACTACAGCTGATGTTAAGAAGAAACAGAGTAAGTTGAAACTATACATTGAAATATTCTTCTCCTCCCTTCCTTCAGTGTTCATTCTACTGGTGCCGTTACTTCTTTACAGTTTTATCTATGTTTGAGCTTGTATTATTAACATGTGCTCCTTTTTTAAAGTTTTTTTTTTTTTTTTTTGGATTTGTGCTGCTAAAATTTTGTAGCTCAAGAGAGTTTTTGAGTGTGTTTTTGCTAATTTAATAATCTCAGTGTTCTTTTTTTTTGTACTGATTTTATGGTTTTGTAATTTATTATATATCTTTTTTTCTTTCCCTTCTCACATACTCCGGAGGGAGTGAAACGTGTAAATCTGTTATTGCCAAGGCCCATTTAGAACATGGGCTTATGGTTTTTTCTTTGATTTAATTTATTATTTGTTCTAAGGAGACTTACTTGCTTTGACTAGTTGTTTAAGAGCTTGTTTATGTTTTAAGAGAATTAACTCTGGGTTTTCTGATTTGGTTTTGGATATACTAGTTTCTAAATCTATACATGCATAAAATATTCAGAGGTATCCTTACAAAAGACATGTTTTTTTGGACAGGTGGGAAAACTGGAGAAGAAAATCAACAGAAGAGCTGCAATAAAAAGGTAGCCTTGGAGAAGCAGGAAGCGTTTCAACTTTCATCTGAAATGGGTTTGCCTCAAGATTGGACATACTAAGTTCTCACTATCTCTATTGTATCTTTATGAATATGATGTAAAGAAAATAACAAGTTTCATAGTTTAGAGAAGGAAGAAAAGTCAATAATCATTTGGGGTTTTGCTCAAGAAGAAAAGGAAAAGGATTGAAAGGTAAACTATAGTATGGGGGGTGTATGTGTGAGTGTTTCCTTTTCGTTTTGCAAGCTTTGTAAAATTTAATAATGAAGGTTTGGAAATTCTGTAAGGAATTATACTCCTTTAGCTGTCTATCTTGATATTAACCTCTATCTGGTGAATCTCCTGCACTTGTTTTTATTTTATACAGTGTGAGAGCAGTGTTTAATGCACATTACCAGATGTGACAGTCTGCAACAAAAGTGTCTGGCTTTTCCTCCAGGGTTTCTTATTTTCTTGGGGTTCTGCTGACATGGAAGGATGAAATGGGAAATGTTTATTGCTTTTCTGTATGGAAAAGGCACATGAAGGGAAGTTTCCACCGTATCCCTGCTTCACTACTTCCCTGTTCCCTCTTTCTGAATGAAGTTAAAGCTTGGTGCTGGCCTGCTGGGGCCTGGGGGAGTGCTTGGAAATGTCCTTGTATGAATGAATGGTCATTGTTGAATTTGTTGGTATATGTTCATGGCTTTATTCATTTCATGTGGTTGTGACTCAAATGGTTCAGGGATATAAATTTTAATTGAGTAATGAATACGATGGATGGAAGAAACGAAGATGGGTTGCCTTGAATGGTTCTAGTATGGCAATGAGAATGTTGTTCCAATGCTGTAATGGATGGGGCCGATGGGCAACTTGTTTTATTAAAAACAGACAAAATTTCCTTTTGAAGACTGCACCATATTTGTGTGATTGGTAGTGGTTGGACTCTACTCCCTGTAGCCATGACTCCTGTAGTCGTGAATCCTGTCATGATCCCACCCTTTTAACCTGTGTCGTTTAGTTTGGAGTAATGGTCATTTGACAGTGCTTACACTGTAGACAGCTGTTTGAGCTTTTGATGTTTAGCTCTCATTGAATCAAAAATTGAAAAAGCTGAGATATATCACATATTGGGCTTTGCCCCACTGGCTACTAACCATGTGAGCTCTCCTGGCTGACCGTTAGACCTTTATAGAAAGAATTACGCTTTACGGAATGATATCAGGTTTACTTTCAAAGTTAATTCTCTTTCTAGGCTCACCGTGCCGTTTCATAGTATATCTGACTATGATACTATCTAATCCAAAGCAGCTATTAATGTATTAATTGCTAAGTTGGCAATTCTTAGCTACGAAAGGGACTTTGATTGCCTGGGATTTTTAATGTTTCATGTTTTGTTCGAGGCAGCCATGCATTTTCTTACATTGGACATGGGATTCATCTTGGGTCTTGGCTGGCTAATTGGGGACCCATTTGTAATGAGAGTGGGAGGCGTATGCCTGGACGTGCCCCAAAACGTCTTGAGGTGTATGTCAGAGGTGATGACACTTTTGAGGTATACTCTTCATATGCTTTTTTTCATGACACTTGCCTATGTTTTATTTATACCTCATGTTAAGGTTCAAAGTATCGATATGAGTTTCAGTCATATCGTATCAGTACTTAGAAACGGTCGATACATACTTTATTTTTAGTTTTTTTTTAAAGTTTAGTTTTTTGGGAAGCTTATAAGATATTTTTTATTATTAAAAAAAATTAGGGGTCAAAAACACTTGGAAATAGGCGTTTCGGACTATCTTTTTCAAAAGATAAGATACGATATGATACGCCTATTTAACCATGCCTCATGTAAAAAGATAGAAAAAAGACAGCAAAAAAAGGGAAGGGAAAGAAAAAGAAAGAAAAGAAAAATGAGATTTTTCCTCTTCCTTCTCATCCCCCTCATCTTGGAGGCTTACTTTATGTTCGGGAGGCTTATGTCTCCTATGCTTTGAATCACACCTCATGCCTGTAGATAGTGGAGCGTCTTGCATTATACCTCCGTGGTTTAAAACATTGGTCCAAAAATGTGGAGTAAGTTGCTTTTACAAGGGTATCAATGTATCATAAGCATTGTTCTTTGTTTATTTCATGTATTTTACTAATTGTTTTGATGTTTCTTGTTTTAGCAGTGCAAACTTGAATGGGATGAAAAAATTTGCACTTGGTTCAGTTTTGCATTTATTTATTTGTAAATTGTAACTATGATTTACACCTCTTCCAGACAAAAAGAAATTGTGCTTTTTTTAGTGTTTTAAGATTTGGACTAGTCACAAAACTAGAATGCATGTTGGGTTGTGGGTCAAATGGTGATTGGGATATATATATATATATATATATATATATATATACATATAAATACACATACATTGATTCTGTGAAATATGACACATCTTAATGCATTGGCAGAATGGATAACTCATTGATTAGCCCCAATTGTCCAATTTTTGAGCATTTTAGCCCCAATTGATTTTCAACAGTTTTGTTGGGTTCTGACTCGGTTCTACCGATTTTCAGAAATTTGAAACCTAGGATTCTAAAAAGCCTGTGGTCTCCAGTTCTTGGGTCTAGAAGTCCAACCATTCGAGCTGGTCTGGGTTTTAAAAGATTGCTTTTTGTCTCATTTTGCATCATTGTTTGTGTAAATTTTGCATCTCAAAAAAAAAAAAAAAAAAAAAAAGCAACTTCACTTCTCTCTAATATAAAATAGGGACCACATCATCTTGCTTCTTATAGAGCGTATTGTATCGATATCTGAAATTTTGGGCATGTGGCACGAGTGGAATGGCATAATGATAGTGACGGTCATGACTACCATTGAAAGTTGTAAATGTGGGTATAACCACCGCTAAAATCTGAAAATTGTAAAACATAATATTTTATATGTTATAAATGATTTTCATCGTAGGAAAGAATGGATCTATTAGAAATCATTGATCTAAGAATACTTTATTTTTAAAAATTGTATTTTCTTAATTATTTACCAAAAATTAAAAAATAATTTATTTTATATTTTATGGTAAAAAAGAACTAAAAGATAATAAAATGGTAAAAAAAAAACATTGTGTTTATTTTATATGTTTTTATACCTCATTCATGGTTATTTCAGCTTCAGATTTAGGGGCTGTTTAATAACAACTAAAAATCTTATTTCTCTTTTAGTGAACAAGATTTTAAGGAGGTTGTGGTCTCCTTAATGACTGAAAGTGAAATTGACTGGATAGACCACCATATTCTTGAAGATTTTATTATTTAATTATTTTTATAATTAAAAGAGAAAGCAAGAAGTCTTTCAGATCAGCAATTTCAGCCTTTATGAAACGACCCCTTAGTGTTACCTGGGATTCATAAGATTTTCTCTAATGTATCCAACTATACTCATGTCTTTTTACTATATCCATGCATATTACATTCCCATGTGTATCGTGTCTGTATCCAACCTTCCTGATATGATATGCAATATGATATTTTGAGCCTTGTCCCAAATGAATAACCCTCGCTCCCACCTCCATTCTCTTTCATACAATGCTACAAGGTGAAAAACACTCGATTATACTTCTTACAACCACATATATTCTGTTTTCAATAACAAAACTAGGCTCTATTTGTTTGCAGTGCAAATTTGATGCAAAATTAATGCCCTGTTCAGTTTGTTTGTAACCATGATTGCCATTCTTAACTATACAAAACTTATACTTTTGTCTTACTTGTACACATTAGTAGTGCAAATTTTATATCCCAAAAATTGATGCAAAATTTGTATTACTTTCCTCCTCCCTTGATTCTCTTTTATAAGGTGGGGACCATATCATCTTGCTTCCTACCTCACTCCAAACAAAAAGCCCTTCTCTTTTATATAAAGCAGGAACCACATCATTTTGCTTCTTATTTTACATCTTACAACCAATAAGACAAAGATAAATTTGAAGCAAAGGAAACTAGAATCTACACTCAGCTCGCATGCACTTTCATGAGTTACACCAGTACAAATGAAATTTGCATTGCAAACAAACTAAGCCTAAATGATCAAAATATTAATATTAGCTAATTTGAAAGTTCAAAATGCATTGATATGGTTGAAAAAAAATAAGAAAAACATGAATATATTAAGAAACACCAAATTTCAAAATATCTTTTTTTTTTCCTGTAAGATTCAAAAGTACATTAATACCAGTATACCACTAAATCTAAATCTATTGCTTGAATGAATACGTGTGGCACAAGAGCTTTAATCTCTCCATCAAACCACTTGGCCACGCCATGCTTTGTGTTATTTGATGAAATAACAAACATTTATTAATGCTTATCCAAATAAATATTCAATATTTATGTTTAACAACCTCAATTAAAAATTAAAATAAATAATATTTTATAAACAAATGGAACAAATAATCTATTAATTCTATATTTACATTAAAAGTACAAAAAAAGTATTTATATCAAAAGATGATTTTAATCTCAACTATCAAGAAATTTATACAAATAAAATATTAATAGTAGAATAATTACCTTACTACTTAGAATTTATAAATTTGCACATGATATATATCTTACAAATTTTATAATTATTAATTAATATTTTAATTTACATTAAATGACAACATATTTATTATTACAAAAAATAAAAATTTATTTGCAAAATATTCAAAAATATAATATTAAATTGAATTCATCAAATCCGTTAATCTACATTTATATGAAAAATTGATTTTTATTTTAAAAAAATACAAATAAAAATTTTAATAATGAAATAATTATTTTAGTAATTAAAAATTATAAATTTGCATATGATATATATTTTAGAAATTTTAACCAATTTTATATATTTAAAGTTAAAATTATATATTTTTATAAATTATTAAAAGATAAGTTAAAATTTTAACCACTTTCTTATATATTTATACACTATTTATAGCCGTTTGGCCATAAATTTAGTGTTATTAATGTATTTATGAAATTTACATGTGTTTTCCTAATGTATCAATGTTTTTCATATGTTTCATCCGTATTCATGAGTTTCCAAAGCATATCTGTATTCGTATCCATATCTAAGTTGTCCGGTATGATACTCGATAGTGATATTTTAATCCTTGATATTAATACATAAAAAATGCATATTTTAATAATTTGTATAAAATATAAAATTTTGGGATTTAAGAGAGTTCATTATCAGGATTCGAGGGAGTATTACATATCATATCTATAAAGAGTAAGAACCAGGTGGAATAACTTTGAAACTGGGCCATCCTACCTGTACATGTAAATAACCTCAAAAGAAGCCTGTATTGGCTCGTATATATATACATACATACATACATATATACATATATATATAAACGAATTTCTTTCAAAAAAACCTATACTATTCACAAATAATTAAGGGTAATATGCATCCTCAAAGAAATTGTGGCGTTAAAGAACTCTCAGTGCGTAGGGTCTGGTTTGGAACAGCATGGACTAATCCCGAACTGATTATTGATTAGTTCTTTTATGGAAGAAATTATTAATAGGGATAATAGGGTCTGATCTGATCATACTTAGCGTTTATAATAAGTTTAACAACTTTGAACTTCATTTTATAATATAATCTTAGTAAAAATTTGATAGTAAATAGTGAACCGTTAATAAGTTGATAAAAATAAGTCTTTGAATAAATTTATCTTATACCGTATAAAATTTAA